CATCCTAATCCCAGCAACCTGTGAATACACTGCGCTAACGCCACCTAGGGAACCAAGGTGGCAGATGGAATCGCGGCTGCTATCAGCTGGCCTGGAGACACAGAGACTGTCCTGGATGGTGGAGGGGACCCAGTGTAACCACAACAGTCCTTATGAGTGAAAGAGAGGCAGGAGTGATTAATCAGGGTCAAAGAGAGACGTGGAAATGCTATTCTGAATCTGCCTCTGAAGATGGAGGACGGGGCCAAAGGTGCCGCTGGGCCCTGGGAGCCGGCAAAGGCGATGAGGCAGATCCTCTCCCACGGCCTCTGCAGGGGCGCAGCCCAGAGACCTCGACTTCAGTCTGTGAGACCTTTGCACTGCTGATCTCCAGAACCGGATGATACTAACTTCATGCTATTTTAAGCAACTAAGCTTATGATAATTCGTTATAACAACAGTAGGAAAGTAATACGCTCCTTATCTGTAATTTGTCATACATCACGCTTCTTATTTTGTCTTGTTATCTGTTGATCTATGTCTGTACCAACATCATACTGTGCTAGTTACTATAATTTTGCCGTTAAGCTTGCAAGTCAAGAAAGGGGAAGCCTCTCTTCTTCAAAACTGCCTTGGCTATTCTTGAATATGTAATTTTTTTTATTTTCTTTTTGCGGTATGCGGGCCTCTCATTGTTGTGGCCTCTCCCGTTGCGGAGCACAGGCTCCGGACGCGCAGGCTCAGCGGCCATGGCCCACGGGCCCAGCCGCTCCGCGGCACATGGGATCTTCCCGGACCGGGGCACGAACCCGCGTCCCCTGCATCGGCAGGCGGACTCTCAACCACTGCGCCACCAGGGAAGCCCTGTAATTTTTTAATTTAACAAAGAGAATATATCTTAAAAGAAAATAAGTACACAGTACACAAGGGAGACGCCTTCTAGGCTCAGGGCACGAGCCAAGACTGAAAGTCATGAAACGCCGACATGTTTAGTGAATCACACGCAGCACAGAGCAGCCAGGAAAATTTTCAAAACCACTGGACGATCAGCCCTGGGGTGGATGATTTCAGTAGCCTAGAAACCACTAACAGCAGGCAAAGCCTTCTACTTCTGACCAGATTTTCCCTCCCATCTGAAACAAAAATTTTTTAACAGAATATATAAAACAAGTCTTTAAGACACTGGAATTTAGGCAGGAAAGGATCCTGAGGAACTGGAAACAAAAGAAGTAAACCTTCCAATTGTTCTCACATCACAGTGTTGAGTGATTCTTCAGACTGCAGTGCAGGGAGGGGAACCCAGACAGTGCACAGTGGGGCCCTGATCTGAAGACCAAGCTGAGAGCCCAAGGAGACCAAGGAAGCTGGAGTCTGCAGGGCCAGGAGGGGTGCACAGAGAAGGAGCTCCAGCCACTTAGAGGGTCCCTCCAGGATTTAGTAGATCACTGAAGAGGAAACTACCCAAGGATGGGCAAAGAACCACCCAAAAAATTAGAGGGACCAGTACACAGGGTTCACCCGAGGCCGGAAAGAAGCTGTCCTCACAGACTGCTAAACCTCATAATTCAGGGACATCAGGCAGAGTAGCAAAAGGGGTCTTGTCACCTAGTGAGGAATAATTAGCCCTAAACTAAATGCTGATCTGGTCCCATCTAACAAATCTTAAGGGCAAGACCCAAAATGACCAAACCGTTTCCAAGGCTCAAGAGTATTTATCAACTACAAAAATATTCCGTCCCCAAAAGGAGAAAACTCACAATACCTGGAATCCAGTAAAAAAAATTATGAATATAAAGAAGCAGGAAAATACAACCCAAATTAGGACAAAAATCAATCAATCAAAACTAATCCAGACCAAGATATTAGAACTGGCAAAGATATCAAAGGAGGGACAAACTTTGTAACATTATCTCCAGATTTCGGTAACTTGAAACTAAACCAAGCTAAAATGAGAATTCACTCACTATCTGGGTCACTATCTGGGTCATTTCAAATAGGGAAAAATACTGGAACATTAACTGCTGGGCAGGTCTAAGAGGTCTGCCTACCTCTGCCTCCTCTGGAGAGGAAGACTAAAGCATGAGCTTGTCAGTGGTTGTACAGGTATTTCCCATGTTCAAGAAGCAACAGGAAACACTGGACATGGAGGACAGAAAAAGACCCTGAGAGAACTTCTGGAGATGAAAACTACAGTATCTGTGATGAAAACTGCACTGGATGGGATTCATGGCAGATCAGGCACTGCAGAAGAAAAGATGAGTGAACCTGAAGGTGCAGCAACGGGAACGATCTAGGACGGGACACAGAGAGAGCAGACACAAATAGAAGTGAGGCTCGCTGCCTGATACACGCGTAACTGGGGGCCCCAAGGGAGAAGAGAGAGGAGGACAGAAGAAGGAATGATCAAAATTGTTCCAACTGTGCTTTAAAAGACCCAGAGATCCAAGAAGTTCCGTGAACCCCAAGCAAAAAGTCAGTTAAAGGACAATTCTGGGAAACAGAGGCAGCGGCAGACCAGGCTTTAAATCTCCTCTAAGGCCCTCATGAGAACAGACAGGGCAGCTGGGAGAGCAAACCCGAAGTCCACAGTCACAATGACAGTAGGTCAGGCCGGAGAAGCCAACAGGGTCATCCCCTCCTGGATGACCATTAGATTAGACTAGATGCTGTTTCCAGTGCCATAACTACATCAAAATTCAACACCGGAAATTTCCTTTCCAGAAAAGGTAATTATATTCTTCCCTTAACGATAGCTGTATGGGTTTCTTCTCTAAGAAAATGATCTGTTCAGACATTTCTAAGGACCAGGGTAAACTGTATTTATTACTTTAAACTGGGTTTATTACATTTCACTACTGTCCTTTTAAGTCACTTAATCAAAAACCAGAGTAATCATATTTCTATCTAATCACAAGATATACATACTTTTATAATCTAGGATACTATCCTTCTTTCATACTTACATTTCTTAGAGGTTGGTACTTGTTTTATTTTTAGAATGTAACTATGAACATATGTCAAAGAAGGGAAGATAGTAGATTTAAAGAAGGGAACAGGTTAGAAATAAGTTTGACTCTGTTTAATATTTTTAACTATATATTCTATGCTTTCCATGCATTCAACTTTATCAAATAAAATTGGAAATTTATTCTAAACTGACTCTGATGGAAAACACATGCCTACCACCCACCACTGCAAGGGATTCTAGCAGATACTCTGGCAATTCCTCAAGTATAAGTGGTGCTGTACATTCCAGTACCACTTATATAAGATGAGATTATTAATGTACACACTGGTGGTAAACAGCAATCCTGAGAACAGTCTGGTAAGCACAATATTCAAAACTGGAAAGAACAAAACAATTAAAACCATCAAATATACAGCCTTCGGGGAAGAAGGAAAATACTTAATAATGTGCTTGGTCCCAAAGCACTCAACTATTAAGTTTTGGTACCTGAATATGTTTAAATATCTCGGAAAATCCTGGAAGGTCACAAAGATGGAGGCCAGTACATCAAGCTCTAGGCCGGAGAAACAAGTGTGCTGCTTCCACCAACTGTAAGATTAAATTCAGCAAGACTGGGACTTCCCTGGTGGTCCATTGGTTAAGACTCCGTGCTCGCAATGCAGGGGGCCTGGGATCGATCCCTGGTCAGGGAACTAGATCCCACACGCATGCCGCAACTAAGAGTTCTCATGCCACAACTAAGGAGCCCAAGAGCCACAACTAAGGAGCCCACCTGCCGCACCTAAGACCCAGTGCGACCAAATAAATATTTTAAAAATAAACCAGTGGGGGCTTCCCTGGTGGCGCAGTGGTTGAGAGTCCACCTGCCAATGCAGGGGACACAGGTTCGAGCCCTGGTCTGGGAAGATCCCACATGCCGCGGAGCAACTGGCCCGTAAGCCATGGCCGCTGAGCCTGCGTGTCCAGAGCCTGTGCTCCGCAACGGGAGAGGCCACAACAGTGAGAGGCCCGCGTATCGCAAAACATAAAATAAAATAAAAATAAATAAACCAGTAAATTCAACAAGACCAGTTTCCAAAAACTAGAATCTCAACTCATAAAAAACCACTCCCAAATGACAGACTCACTGGTGCCTTTGCACCAGCACCCAGGACCTGCTGCCCAAGAGACACTGCCCAGCCCTCCATGGACACCCAGCAGTGTCCATCAGAGGAAATCCACCTGGTTGGAGGATGGATGGACATTAAGCTCCCCTCTACAGCTTACACTTTTGTTCATTCCCTACCTTTCTGACTTTCTAAGAGCCTAACTGCCCATGATCTAGAACATTCTTTCAGCCAGCGAGATCCCTAGAAGCCGAGGGCCAAGGGCTCAATGCTCTTTCAACTCTCCTCCTAAACTCCTCCTCTTCCCGCGACAGGTGGGATTCCCCACCAGGACACTAGCTGCCTGTCCTTGGGAATAAACTAAGAGGCCCTGAACACAAGGTACCGGCCTCAGCAGAAGGTGTGGTGTAGCCAACACAAAGCTGACAGCCGTGGTCACACGTGGGGACGCCACCACCCACAGGAAGGGCATCACTCTGCTGACAGCCCTCTACCCCTTTCTTAAAGCCACGCCCTGAGGTCATGCCCTCCCCACTCTCAGACTGTGCTCCAAGGGAGTAGAAAGCACTTTTTAAAGACAGCAAACTCACGGCTACATTAACAGTACAAAATAAAGCTGGCAGTCCTTGGCTTTCAGCCAGCCTCTGATTCTTGAGCCCTGTATCTGCAGGGCACCCACATGATGTGTCCCTTTAAGGGTCACCAACAGACCTTCCCAGGCCCTCGGTCAGGGAGCTGCAAACAACAGGGCTGACTCGTGGCTGAAGCACAAAGTGCTGGGCCACGCTTCATCACTGCCCAGTTCTACACCTCTGTATTCAGCAAAAACTCAACCAACTGATTCAAATTAAAGTCATCTGCAGTAAGTATCTGAGAAATGTTGCTGTACTGGGCACAGATGGAGCTGTGCCACGAGCTAGAAGACTCAGCTCTCTACACACACTTACTTGAAGGGGAGGTGGGTGGCTTCCGGGAAGGCCGCTGCTCTGCCTTGGGGCGAATGGCGTGCTCCATGGGCGTGTCCAGGTGTCCTTCAGGGCTCAGTGAGTACTGGAACTGGACTGTCCCCGACTCCACCTGCTTCACCTACAATCGACCACAAGACTGGTGACGGCCACGCTCCCTTCATCAGCACCCTTCGGTTAGAACAACTCAACCAGGAACAATTCTCCCGGCCCTAAGATGATCAATGAGAATCAGAACCCCAGGAGACCACCATCACAAGAACACCCTCACCCAAGCAGAAATCACAACATTGCTGCTCCAGTTTCGAATGCGTTTTTTAATTAACCTATGTTATGTTGACTGTTTCCCTTTTGGTGTATAGTTCTTTGAGTTTTAACACATGTAACCACCACCACAGCCAGGGTACAGAACAGCCCCACCACCCAAAACATTCCCTCACTGCCTCCTTGTACACCGTCCCGCCAACACCCAACCCCGCAATCTACCCCTCTCTTCTGTCATATAAATGGGATCACATGCTATACAACCTTTGAGACTGGCTTCTTTCACTCCCTGCGATACTGATGAGACTCTCCCGGGCCGTGGTGTGTACCCACAGCCCGTTGCTTTTTGTTGCCGAGGAGTTTTCTATTGTACGATGCACCCCAGTGTACTTATCCGTTCACCCATTCAGGAACATTCGGGCTGTTTCTAGCTTGAGGGGTTATAAATAGAGCTGCTAGGAACACTGGTATACATATTTCTGTGTGACATAAGTTTTCATTCCCATAAGGTTCACTTCTCTACGAGTAGGATTGCTGGGTCATATGGTATGTGTATATTTAATTTTACAGGAAACTGCTGAACTGTGACTTGCTTCTGGACTCTATTTCATTCCATTCATCTATGTGTCAATGCCTTTACCAACAGCACTTTATCGTGATTACTGTAGCTTTAATGAAAGTCTTGAAATTGTGTAGTATGAATCCTCCAACTTTATCGTTCTTTTCAAAATTGTTTTGACTCGAATTCCTTTGCTTTTCTGTATAAACTTTAGAATATATATATATTTTGTATATATATATACAAAAAAATCATGTAAGGATTTTGATTGAAATTGCATTAGACCTATAGGTCAATTGGGGGAGAATTTCTATCTTTACTATGTTGAAACAGTCTTCCAATCCATAAAGATGTCTCTCCACTTATTTAGGTCTTCTTTGCCTCAGCCTTTGTAAATAATGCTGTTTTTCAGATTTTGCTTTTCCAACTGTTGTTAATGTAAAGACATGTGATTGATTTTTCTATCTTGACCTCCTGTTGTATCCTGCAATCTCCCTAAACTTGTTTATTCTAGGAGCTTTTGGTAAATCCCTTGAGATTTTCCACACAGAGAATCATGTTGTCTGCAAATAAGATTTGTTCCTTCCTTTCCAATCTGTATGGTTTTTAAATTTTGTTTTCTTGCTTTGTTGCACTGGCTAGCACTTCCAGTACAATGTTGAATAAGATGCTGAATACTGTGTATGGGCATCCTTCACTTGCTCCTGATCTACGGGGAAAAGAATTCAATCTTTCACCATTAAGTGTGATGCTAACTAAAGGATTTTTGTAGATACTCTTATCAAGCTGAGGAAGTTCCTCTTTATTCCTGTTTGCTCAGTTTTTGTCATAAATGGATGTTGAATTTTGTCAAATGCTTCTTCTGCATCAATTGTTATGATCATACATTTTTCCTTCTTTAGGCTGTGACTATGATGAATTACATATTTTTGACTTTCAAATAGAAAATAGCCTTGCATTTCTGAGATAACCCCCAACTTGGTCATGGTGTATTATTCTTTTTCCATATTGTTGGATCCAATTTGCTAATATTTTGTTGAGCATTTTGCATCCAAGTTCATGAGGCTTATGTATCCATAGTTTTCTTTTCTTGTACTGCCTTTTTCTGGTTTTGATATCAGAGTAATGCAGGCCTTGTTACACGAACTAGGAATTGCTCCTATCTACCCCACTTTCTGGAAGAGAATGTATAAAATCAGTGTTATTTTTCCTTAAAGGAAAAAATGTTTAGGACAATTTACAGTGAATAGGCCTGGACAGTTCTTTTTCAAAAGTTTTTTAACCATGAACTCATTTTCTATAAAGTTATAGGACTACTCAGATTATCTAGTTCATCTTGGGTAAGTTTTGATAGTTTGTTGTTTAAGGCAAACTGATCCATCTCATCTAAATTTTCACGCTTATGGGCATAGAGTTGTTCATAGTATTCCTCTAATATCCTTTTTATACCTATGTGGTCTGTAGTGGTATCCCTTCTTTCATTCCTATTATTAGTAATTTGTGTCCTCTCTTTTCTTTACTCTTTCAGTCTTGTTAAAGGTTTGTCAATTTTATTGAGCTTTTTAAAGAATCAGTTTTTTATTTCACTGGCTTTCTCTAGTTTTTCCTCTACTGTTTTTCTGTTTTCAGTTTCATTAGTTTCTGCTCTTATCTTTGTTATTGACTTTCTTCTGCCTTGCTTTAGGTTTATTTTCTTCTTCTTTTTCTAGTTTCTAAAAGTGGAAGGTTAGATTATTGATTTGAGACTTTTCTCTGTTGTTATATAAGCACTTAACGCTATAAATTTCCACGTAAGCACACTTTAGCTGCACCCTACAAAATCTGATATGTTGTATTTTCATTTTTGTTCAGTTCAAAATATCTTCTATATTTTCTTGAGGCTTCCTCTCTGACTTATGGATTATTTAGAAGTGTATGAATTTCCAAGTGTTTCTAATTTTTTATGTTACCTTTGTTATTGGTTTCTAGTTTAATTCCATTATGATCACAGAATATACGTTGTGTAATTTCAGTTCTTTTAAAATTAAAGCTTGTTTTATGATCCAGGATATGGTCTATCTTGGTGAATGTTCCATGTGCACTTGAAAAGAATGTGTATCCTGCTGTTGTTGGGTGGAGCGTTCCATAAAGGTCATTTAGATCCCGATGCTTAATGATATTGTTCAGTTCTATATGTTGGTGATTTTCTATCTACATGTTTATAGTTTACTCCAAGAGGAGTGTTGAAATATCCAACTACAACTGTTAATTTGTCTATTTCTGTGCTATTAGTTTTTCGCATTTTGAAGCTCTATGTTAGATGCATACACTTTTAGTATTGTATGTCTTCTTGGTGAATTGACTCTTTTATCATACGTAATATCCCACTTAATTTCTAGCAATTTCTTTTGCTCCAAAGTCTACTTTGTCTGGTATTAATAGAGCTACTCTAGTTATCCTTTGAACAGTGTTTGCACAGAATGGTTTTCCATCCTCTTACTTTTGACCTACTACATCGTTGTATTTGAACTGAGCTCCTGGTAAACAGCATACAGTTGGACCTTGAGTTTTTATGCCACCTGACAACTTCTGTCTTGAAGTTGGTGTGTTCAGACTATTTATATGTCATGTAATTATTGGTGTGTCTGGATTCAGAACTATCATTTTACTATGATTTGTTCCCTCTGTTTTTCATTCCTGTTTCCCCTTTCTTGCCTTATTTTGAATTATTCCATTTTATCTATCTATTGGGTTTCTCACTGTCTCTTTGTATCCTATTTTTAGTGAGTGCTCTAGGGTTTACAATGTAAATATTTAACTTTTCACAATCTACTCAAAATCTATATTTTATTACCGCAAGTGGAATGTAGAAAGCTTATCACCCTACAGGTCTCTTTACCTGCCCCCTTTGTATTATAGCTGTCTTACCTATTATACCTACATACCTTAAGAATCCTATCAGACACTGCTATACTTTTTGCTTCAACCATCAAACATATTTTAAAGAACTCAAAAGGAGGAGAATACTATATTATAGTTATCATTTTTGATGCTCTTCCTTCATTCCTGATGTACCAAGCTTTCATCTGGTATCATTTCTCTTCTGTCTGAAGAAATTCCTTTAGTAATTCTCTTAGAGCTTGTCTCCTGCCAATGAATTCTCTTAGTTTTAGTTCATCTGAGAATGTCTTTATTTCACCTTCGTTCCTGCAGGACTTTTGCTGGAACAGAATTCTGAGTTCCGGGGTCCTTCTGCTACTGCTTTTAAAATGTTGCTCCATCTCCTTCTGGCCCCCATGATTTCTGCTAAGGAACCCACAGATATTCAAATTAGTGTCTGTGTGTAAGTAATGCATCATTTTTCTATGGCTGTTTTCAAGACTTTGTCTCTATTTTTTAGCAGTTTGATTATGATGTGTCTGGTTGTGGATTTCTTTGCAATTATCTCTGGGTTCACTGAAACTCTTCAATCTATAGGTTTAAGTCTTTTGCCAAATTAGAGGAGTTTTCAGCCACTGTGTCTTCAAATGTTTTTTCTGCACAGAACCCTTTCTCTTCTACTGGGACTCTGACGACACAGGTGTTAGCCTTTGTGGTCCTGCCCCACACGTCCCTGAGGCTTTGTCCACTGTCTTCCAATCACTTTTCTCTCTGTGGTTCAGACTGGATAAATTCTATTGATTTACCTTCAAGTTCACTGACTGTTTCTTCTGTCATTTCCATTCTGCTATTGAGTCCACCTAGCGAATACTTTACTTTGGCAATTTTATTTTTCAGTTCTAAAATTTCCATTTGCTTCTTCTTTATCTTCCATCTCTTTGCTGAGACTTTCTAACTTTCCCTTTGTTTCAAAAGTGTTCGCTCCGATTTACTGGAGCATTTTGATAATGCCTGCTTTAAAGGCTCTGTCTGATAATTCCAACATTTGCGTCACCTCGGTATTGCTGTCTGTTGAATGTCTCTCCCTTACGAGTGGAGATTTTCCTGGTTCTTTGTCAGTTAAGCTTAGCTTGTATCATGGACATTCTGAATGCCACATTATAAGATTCTGAGTCTCGTTTAAATCCTATGGAGAATGCTGGTATTTTTGTTTAGTCAGGAATCCACCCAGCTGGGTTCAAGCCCCAGTTTCCAACCAGCTTCCTGTGGGTGGTGGTTTCAACACCAGTTCCATTTTCAAAGCCTGTGCAGTGATACTCAGGCCTCTCCTGCATGTGGTCCACCCAGTGGGCAACCCCACCCACAGTCCAGTTCTCAAAGTCTGCGATATGCTGTTTGGGGTCAGATTCAGGCACGTGAAGCTGGGGGTTAGCTCAGCATTTCTTAAACAACTTTATGGGGTACTTTCCAAGCTCCTCCCTCTCCAGATCCCCCTAGTTCTTTCCAGTTTCCTCCCCTTCCAATCCTCTGGCCAGACCCCTCTGTGCTGCACACCTCTGGCAACAGTGCCTGAATGCAAGGCCAAGCAGTGGGGGGACAGAGTGGGGTTGTTCTTTAAGTGCAGGAGTGTATAAAAGAGCTAAAGGTCCCATCTATCATTACTGTAAGACAATATGCAATTTCTAAAATTGATATACTAAGAAATAACAGTAGAAGCATAATATTTAGAAAACAAAGTAAATACCATATGTCACAGCTAAGAGTTGAAAGCGGCTGCCTCTGGAGATACTAATTTTTTTAAAGACAATTATTTGCTCAAGGAAAGAACACAGGAGTTGTTTAAGAAGGAAAACATAATCATAATACACTACTTACCTTCACAGTAAATAATCATAATAACATAAACCGCAAAATTTACTTAGTAAAAAATTATAGGATGTGTATAGCATGTATTTTTTTTCTTTAACATCTGCCACTCCTACTCAACTGTAAGTTCCATGGGATTAGAGATATTTTTCCCAGAGCAGATACAGGTGTTCAATAAAAAGTCACTGAATGAACAAATAAGATAAAGATCTGACGGGTGCACAGGCAGAGACCAGGCTTACCTAGGTTTCACCCCTCTGACTGGGCAGATGCTGGCACTGCTACATGAGATGAGAAATACAGGAAGAAGCAGAGCAGCACTTTTAGAGAGCAGGAGAGTGGATCAAGTCTGTGACCAGTGGTAGTTTATTATTTTAGCTAATTATATCTGTTTAGAGTAGTGGTCCTCAACTGGGGGCGATTTTGCCCCCAGAAGAACACATTCAGCTATGTCTGCAGACATTCAGGCTGTCATAACTGGGGGGATGCTACTGGCATCTAGTGGGAAGAGGCCAGGGATGCTGCTTGACACCTTCCAGTGCCCGGGACAGACCCACAGCAAAGAATTGCCTGGCCCCAAACGCTAATAGTACTGAGGGTGAGAAACCCTGATTAGAAGTGATATTCCTCATGAAAAATGATGGTATTTAATATATTTGTGTCCTTAAGACAGGCAAACCTTCACAACACTTATGCTCCAATATAGTTTACACACTTAAAAAGCAAAGGAAATGTAGTGGCATGAGAAGGCTAAAATTAAACAGAATAAGGATTTATTCACATACATACGTACACAGAGAGAGATAGAATGAGAACGAGAAAACGGCAATGGCTTCAGGATTTCTAATGGCAATTTTATAATAAGGGCTCAAACCAGACCATGTGGGAGTGCAGCAAAATGTGACCCCATAACCAGGGACATTGCTCATAATAAGAAAAGCTGCACCATCAGCTGCTCCCTTATTCAGGTTCCCAAAGCATAAGCCAAACCATAAATAATAACACGGAAGATAATGTTTGTCACTAGACTCAGCACACGGATGACATACTGATATAACAGGTCTGGTCCTTTACCGAAGAAAAATTAGACAATTGAGGCCTAAAAGACTCCTGTTTGTGCTGCTGAGACGGGACGGGTATATTTCAGGAATGTCAGCAGAAGAATCAAACAACACACCCAGGCAAAAACGCTGTCACAACCCATTAGTAGTGTCAGGAAGGACTTGGGACATCAGCCAGAGCAGTGGTGTCACACGGTGTCTGTGGCCCCCAGGTCTCTGCTCCCCACCCCGCAAGGCCGCCAACAGGCCAGTAGAGGCTAGGGGATAAGACACACACACACACGCTTCCACTGGCCCTGCCCCACTTTTATTTGCTTTCTATACTGGGGATCAGAGAAAGCTTCATTTCAAAATGGATTTTTTTTTAAGTCCTGCTGTGGTCCCTCCCCTCCAGACACAGCTGGAGAGAGTTGAGGTCCAGTGGGTGTGAGTGACAAGCCCCAAAGACCAGCCAGGGCAGTGCCCACCGCCCGGCTCCCATCCCAGCCTTGTGCACACGAGACACAGCCCCCAGGGCACCAAACGTTTCAAGAGGGCCTTTTTATTAAGGGAACCCTCCTACACTGTTGGTGGGAATGTAAGTTGGTGCAGCCACTGTGGAAAACAGTAGAGAGGTTCCTCAGAAAACTAAAAATAAAATTACCGCATGATCCAGCAATCCCACTCCTGGGCATATATCTGGAGAAAACTCTAATTCAAAAAGATACATCCATCCCAATGTTCACAGCAGCACTATTCACAATAGCCAAGACAGGGAAGCAAACTGTCCGTGGACAGATGAATGGATAAAGAAGATGTGGTACATATATACAATGGAATACTACTCAGCCATAGAAAAGAACAAAATAATGCCTTTTACAGCAACATGGATGGACCTAGAGATGATCACACTAAGCGAAGTAAGTCAGAAAGAGAAAGACAAATACCGTACGATATCACTTGTATGTGGAATCCTAAATATGACGCAAATGAACCTGTCTATGAAACAGAAACAGAATCAGGGACACAGAAAATAGACTGGTGGTTGCCAAGGGGGAGGGGGTTGGGGGGGCGAGTCTGGGATTAGCAGCTGCAAACTGGTGTATTTAGAATGGATAAACAACAAGGTCCTACTGTATAGCACAGGGAACTATATTCAATACCCTGTGATAAACCATAATGGAAAAGAATATGAAAAAATGTACATATATATATATATGTTAACTGGGCCACTTTGCTGTACAGCGGTAATTAACACAACATTGTAATTCAACTATACTTCAATAAAAAAATAAATTTAAAAAAAAAAAGAGGGCTTTTTAAAAAGCACAGAAGTGGATCTCATGGCACCATGTATACAAATAAGGGTCACAGGCCACCTTGAGAGACTGATACATGACCGGGGACATTATGGGACCCCAGATAAAACCGGCCTCAGTGAGTTCACAGCCGACTATGACTCAGAAACCACACTTATTTTTTAAGGGCACAGCCTTGACATGAAAAAACAGAGCTCATGAAACATCAGCAAACGTATTTGTCAGCTTCTGATTTTGAAAATGCAGGAACTTGCTAGAAGCTCGTAGAAAATAATCATACTTACGGAGCCTCTAACAATTTACCTCTTCGGAGCTCATGCTGGCTGGGGGTACCTTATAGACCAGACAGTGCGAGGGGTTGGGCTGGATCCCACCCTGTAGAGGTAGCGTCACCCGCCCAGAGCTGGCTTCCAGCACGGGGCTCCAGACAGCCCACCGCACCATGTGCATACACGCCAGGTTCGACAAGGAGGTGACCGCAGCTGCCTGGAATGGAAACAAAGCACATTGGTCACGAGTCATTACCAAGCCCACTTGGGTGGGGGAAATCAACAGTGCTTTCCCGGTAAAATTTCACTAGAGAGCAAGGCAGGCGGTCATCACAAAAGAAAGAACCACCACAGGAGGAGGACACGACATCACATCAGTGGCTCAAAGAGAGCAGAGAAGCCAGCCTCCGGTTCTGGGACCCCCCCCACCAACCAGGACCCTCTTGAAGACCAACTCCATCTTTATGACGCCTCCTCTTCCTGTAGGATCTTCCTGCAGGTTTTCAGACACTCTGTGCCTTGCCAACATCTACCCAAATCCATGAATAAAACACCAGGAATGGCACTCTGTGTTAGTGATGAGACACTTTGTAAAATGATGAAGAAAACACGTGGATATTGGGAGACTGGGATTGACATATACACACTACTATGTATAAAATAGATAACTAAGGGACTTCCCTGGTGGTGCAGTGGTTAAGAATCCGCCTGCCAAAGCAGGGGACACGGGTTCGAGCCCTGGTCCGGGAAGATCTCAGATGCCGTGGAGCAACTAAGCCCGTGTGCCACAACTACTGAGCCTGCACTCTAGAGCCCGTGGGCCACTACTACTGAGCCCACGTGCCACAACTACTGAAGCCTGCGAGCCCATGCTCCGCAATGAAGGGTAGCCCCCGCTTGCCGCAACTAGAGAAAGCCCGCGCACAGCAATGAAGACCCAATGCAGCGAAAACTAAATAAATAAATAAAATGAAAAAAATGATAATAAAAAAATAAAATAGATAACTAATGAGAACCTACTGTATAGCACAGGGAACTCTACTCAATGCTCTGTGGTGAATGGGAAGGAAATCCAAAAAAGAAGGGATATATGTATACGTATAGCTGATTCACTTTGCTGTACAGCAGAAACTAACTCAACATTGTAAAGCAACTATACTCCAATAAAAATTAATTTAAAAAAAAGAATACACGTGGATATTCAATTTAGGGTTATTAGCACACAGTTTCTCCCCCAAAGTTTCAGCTCCTAATGGTATGTTCTATGTAACTTACGTGTAATTAGGAAATCAGTCAGGCAGAATGTTACATGCTGTTCCTTCTTTCACTGTCTCTATCATTGGCCAGATGCAAGGGAAGAGGACCCCAGGACACCCCAGAATTAGCCTCCACGTTCAAACAAAGCCATTTTCACAAATACGGCTTCAGGGCTTGATTCAGTAGCGTTTTAAAGAAACCACTTTCATCCGCTTATTCAAAAAGCAGCAAGAGGGACTTCCGTGGCGGTCATGTGGTTAAGACTTCACCTTCCAATGCAGGGATGCAGGTTCGATCCCTGGTCGGGGAGCTAAGATCCCACATGGCTCATGGCCAAAAAAGCAACACATAAAACAGAAGCAATATTGTAGCAAAATTCAATAAAGGCTTTAAAAATGGTCCAAAAAAAGCAGCAAGAATAAAGCAGAACTCAGAGCGGGCCGTGGTCGGGTCCTGAAATTCCTGCTCGGCTGGGCAACAAGACTTGTGATCCACCCCATTATGGCAGCTTCAGAGACAACGGCTCTGCCCCAGGTCCTGAATGGCAGATTCTGCAGGTTCCCTGGCACATCGGCTCCCCCAGGAAGGCCATTTCGCAGCCAGAGGACATGGGGCGCTTGGCGACACCAGGTGAGACTGGAGCCCAGGAACAGCGCTTTCCAGCCCAAGAGCCCAGCGGCACTAACCGCAGTCAGACTGACAGCCGGGACTCGGGGCAGCGGCCACGCCCGCCTCTGCCCCACAGTTCCCAGCCTCGGTGGTAATGCTGCAGAGAAGCCACCCAAAGGCGGCAGGTGTAAAATGCAACGTGGCCACAGCATCTCCCTTCCTGGGAGGACGAGCACAAAGGCCCGCGTGGTTCCTCAGTGTCGCCCGGCAGCCGAGGGAGCCGATGGTCCTCCGTCCCTCTTGACCACCGGCTGCACGCACTAACCCCGCCGCCCCCAAACTCAGGCCGTGGTCACAGGGAGGCTGACAGCCTGCAAGGAGGGGGCCTCGGACTCTCGGAAGGAATGGAAGCCCAAGCCTGCCTGTGATGGTGCAGAGCATGGTCCCAAAGGAAAGGCGATGCCAACGGGGACCCTCTGACCCGAGCTGTGTCTGGGGCCACGCAAGCAGGGAAGGCTCCAGCGGTGTGCCCGGGGCTCCCCACAGACCCTGCTCATGTGGCTGGACACGGGTGAGCTGTGTGCCACTGTCACAGCCAGGACTTGACTGCACTCAGGTAAAGGGCAGATCGTCACACACACACACAAAAGGACTCTGGCTGGAATCCAGCACAGGCGGCTTGATGGCCAACTGGCTCAAACCACAGCAGAGGGTGTGCACGAGGGGACCCCAATACAGAACAGGAAGCATGCATTTCATCCAAGTCAGCCTTCCCGGACTGTTCCAGATGATATCCCATCCCGTTATATCCTTTATATCCATGTGGGGGAACATCCAGAATCAGTGTCTGGTTGTGAATTAATCTCTCTTTCCTGAGGCCCCCTCGTAACTGGACCTCACACCACCCACTTCAGCTTATTCTGACCCTTTACTGGAGCCAAACTTCAGACCATGGGTAGGATACTTCATACCACCACGTGAGCAAGGATTTGGGTCCCTGTCAACTCAATGAGAAAAAAAAAATAACCCACATCCTGGAAGTACAAGCAAAGAATAGGCCGAGTTAAGAATCCTAAGCGTCTGATTCTGTGCCGTAACTTTCAATGTCTGTCAAATACAAAGATGGCGGTCTGCCCTTCCCATCCCGTTAGCCACTGACAGGATAAAACGGTACTGAACAACTACAGTGTATCAGGGAAAAGTTGATATAAGTCTATTGTTTTTTAAAAATAAATTATAGGGCTTCCCTGGTGGCGCAGTGGTTGAGAGTCCGCCTGCCAATGCAGGGGACACGGGTTCGTGCCCCGGTCCAGGAAGATCCCACATGCCGCGGAGCGGCTGGGCCCGTGAGCCATGGCCGCTGAGCCTGCGCGTCCGGAGCCTGTGCTCCGCAACGGGAGAGGCCACAACAGTGAGAGGCCCGCGTACCGCAAAAAAATAAAAATAAATAAATAAATAAATAAATAAATAAATAAATGTATTAGCAAAACTGGCCACTAAAAAAACTCTAAGGATTCACTACTACCTAGACTACGTTTGCAAACAGCCGTCTCCCCAAAAATTCGTGAGTTTATAACAGGATCCAAATGAAAATAAAAAGCGTGCCCCCGTTTTCATGCTATTTGTGCAACCCCTTCCGGCTTAACCTTTCCAATGCGGTGACTGATCCCCAGCTTCTGGTTTCACACACCTTTTGATTTGCTCGTCCTCAGTCTGCACGGCACTCTTCTGTGTAAGGCAGCTGTCAGTTACACAAACACCCACTTCCCACGCTTCGTTTTAACAGCCCAGGAACAAAACCTAGAAGAGGCAGGAAGGATCCTACCCGAGCCTCCAGAGGAGCAAGGCCCTCCCGACGCCTCGACTTTGGCCCGGCAGGTTCTGGATCCGGAACTGACTGGGAGGGAATAAATGTCTGTTGTTTGAAGCCAAGTAGTTTGCGACAATTTGTTCAGGCCGCCCCAGGAGGAATCCCCTCCGCCTCTGTCCTCAGACCAACTCAGAAATCCCTTCGAGGCAGGTAAAACTTCAGGTTATTTCACGAGGTTGATTTTCCTTTAGATCTTCAGTGAGACCTAATTCCTCCTGCCGGGGCCCCCTGTCACCCACTGAGCCCCCTCCATGCTAACTCTGGTCACCGCAGCCCAATGCCCAGAAACACACTGCAGAGGTGACAGGGAACCCATGGGGTGGGGGGGTCCCCTGGCCCTGAGGCCACCTCCCGAGACAGAGCTGGGCCCGAGGGCCAGACCCTGGATGGGGGCAGCCACGCTGGGGCCCCTGGTGAGCACAAATGAGGAAAGCAAACTGTTGTGGCAGAACGTGTCCAAATGTCCCCGACAGCACGCCCATCACAGAGGCTGTGGTGACCGCGAGTCACAGAGAGAGATTTAGGAAGCACGGGACAGATGGAGGAACGGGCAGAAGGCGGCCCGGCCTGGGCCAGGCACAGGTCTGTTCTGGGGTGTCCATGTGACCCTCTGCACCGTCCGCGAATGCTGACCACGGAGGGAGGGCCAAGGCCCACCCCAGCGGCACAGACCAAGGAGCGTGCACCTGCCTACGAGCCGGGGCCGGTCCACATTGGCAGCCGGCGGCTCTGAGGTCTCAGAGCTGGGCCACAGGCAACGCACAAGGGTAAGATGACTTGTTTCCCGCATCCTCCTGAGAGGACACTGGCTGCCTGGCCACTGAGGTGAACCTCGCAAGGCCCGAGAGCCTGAAACACGCCCAAGGGGAAGAGTCAGGAGAGAAACAGGCGTCCAGAGCCAGAATCTCCCCCCTCCTTCCCGCCAAGGAGCACGAGGCACCCAGGACCACCGGGCAAAGCAAAGGCTCACATACCATCAGCCCGAAGTCATTCCTTCCAGAAGTGGATCGATTGTACGCCAAAAGCTTTTCCAACTCAGACGTACAGAGAACGCGGCAGCTGCTGCAGACTGATTTCCTTCATACACATGCAGGGTGGAAAAGGAGACCTAACGACATATAAAGTCGTCTAAGCTGCCCGTATACGACACCGCGTACGCAGAGTCATTTAAAAGCACAGTAATCACTTGGCAGGCAATATTTTCATTTCATTCTACAGAGTACAGTAATTATTTTTAAACATACACATGAGCAATGAAAAACAACAGGGGTATGGTTTTAAGAAAGCTGTAAACTAGAATTACTCTTCATACTGGCTAAAGGGCTCATAACACTCGGGTCCTCTTTGCAAAAAAGATACCAACTCAACAAGAGCTGAGAGAAGCAATAGGGAATCCGTCCTGAGTTTGGGGCCGTGGCTGGTGAGGTGGACAGGCGTGCAGCCTCTGGTCCTTCGGAGTCTGCAGCCCAGCAGCCAGAGCA